AGACAAGATTACCTGATTGGTTTTGTTAAAGGTATTTAGCATTTATAAAATTAAAAAAAAAGTTAAGTTGCAAATTTGTGAGTTGAATTATGAAACACTTAGTCTAAGTCTAGTCTGTTTATAAAAAAAAAGTTTTTTTTAAAACAAAATATCAGTAGGTAAGTGGTGCAAGGTCAAACAGAAAACTTTCTTAGTTTACTGAATACATAATTAATGTTTAAAATAATGTCGGTCGTTGCGTTGATACAAACAGACCGAGGCACTTTTTATTCTGCCTCTACGTATTGGAATTAGAAAACGTAACAATTTTTTTATCAACCGACTTCCAAAAAGGACATTCTCGATTCTGTTGTATTTCTTAAATTTGTGTTTTATAACTCCGTTAACTAACGAACGAGGAAGTCCTAAAAAAAGTAAACGAGAAGAGAACATTAATTAAAACAATAGAGAATAGAAGAGGCAAAATGCTGGGCCACCTTATACCACATGACGATTTTTTTAAGAGCATAGTAGAAGGAAAGATAGAGGACAAAAGAGGAAGACCGAGGATTAACTCATGTAGTAGGTAGGACAGATAAAGGAAACACTAGGCATCATGTCGTATAGGGAGATAAAGTATATGGCCTGGGATAGAGCTGGCTGGAGGAAGATGCATGAATTAGTTGCACCGACAAGAGGAAACTCTTAAATGAAAATGAAATGAACTCCGTTCATTGCAAACCGATTTGGAAAATTCTTTCTTTGGTCTGAAATGATATATTTATAGGTTGGTCGCATAGAAATTTTATCAAAATCGCTTCAGCATTTTAGTTTTTAAATCAAAATAACTGGTTTTACAACATATAAATCTACATATAAACACTACATATGTATAAAAGTCGGTTTTTATTTGTGGGACACAATCTTAATTATTAATTGACGAGTAAAGTTTGGAAAAGATACTGAAAATATAGCATTTTTGTACGTGTGGTTGTATGGCATAAAAAAATAACTGTGTAAATAAAGTTTCACATTTCATCTACTTTTATAGAAGATACGGTTTGAGTATTAATCTAAGAACAAGGAATTACATAGAAGGAGTGATAAAATTGTCAATCATAGCAGGCTAGTGTATAGAAAATGTTATACGGCCGTATAACCCTACCAAATTCAAATACAATCTTCTTGCATACTTTCTACATAAACTGTGTCGAATATATAATATAAAATTTGTCATTGACAAATAATTGACATAATCAAACATTTTCTATACACTAGTCTGCTATGAATTGAGAAAAATATCAAATGATGGTGTATCTTTGGACCTCTTTATACTAATTATATTTGCATAAGAAGAAAGGAGGCAACCATATGATTTTCAGTTTTTATTTTATCATTTCTTCTATGTAATTCCTAATTAATCGATGGTGCATTCCTATTCTCGCATTTACGTATGACGTCTGACGTAAGTACGAAATGTCAAGAATGCTCGCAACCACGATATCCTGCTCTTTTTACACAATAAAGACAGAGATGGTAACACAGCTGGTTACTGGATGTTTACGGAACAGACTACAGAGCTAATAAAATTATACTGCGGAGATAAAGTAATGCGGTTAATTTCGGCTCGGTATGTTTTTTTTTTTTTGTAGTTGTTACTTTCAATTGACATAAATTAGTCTTCCGTTGTGAGGAATAACTCGTATCCTGTAAGTTTGAACAAAGTGCTATTCTATTATCCAAGGAAGTATGCTACTGATGTTTATTTATTTAATTTTTAGCGGGAAATGATGGAGGTATAGTTTTAAATAAATTGGTGTTTTAGATTATATAGATAGAGCATCAAATCTTAAAAACGGGTCATCTTTTTATTAGCTAATTGTCTAATTAGGTGACAAAAACTCAATCCTCAACTATTTATCACGGAAAATTGTATGAAAAAGTTGACCCGGTTTTCACGAAGCATTCCTATGGAGACACTATCTCTATAATATAATATTGTTGTATTGTATACTTTTTTACCTTATTTAAAAAAAAAAAACATGTTTTGAAGAATAACTAATAAAGTTTGAATAAAGTAGCACACATTAATTAATTTCTTATTATATCTCTGGCATTTTCCCGCTAAAAACATGCAGCAATTGTTTTTTTTTTTTTTTTTTAGTACGTTTGTTCCGTTTGGAACAGGCTAAGGTCGGAGACCATGCTGCCTAGTCTTCAAAAAGATAATTTGTCTGGAATTTTATTTTTCTAATGTCGCTTCAATTATTGTCGTAATCTTCAATATTTCATTTGTCAAATCCGGTAAGTACATTTTCATAAATATCTTTTCTTGAGTTTTCTTAAACCAGTGGATTTATCAAATTAAAAATAAATAATTATAAAAAATCATTGTCTTGCAATTCAATAAAAGTATTCTTATAGCTCCTTGAATGTTGTAGTAATATAAGTGAAAATAGCTTTGAAACAAGAAGGAAATCTTAAGAGAATCGGGATTGAGTGCGGGATATTTTCGGGTTTTTTGAAGATAATCCTAAGTTCGTCAAACATAATGTGTCTTTGAATGACAAATTCAGAGCAATCAAAAAAAAGGTGATGTAGAGATTGGGCTGTATTTGAGTTACACCATGTGCATGATGGGGAAGCGATCATGCCCATTCGGTGCAGGTGTTCGTTGAAATGTCCGTGGCCGATTCGTAATCTACAAATATTGGTGTAAAATTTTCTGTTTGTGTCCTTTCCTTTGCAGAACCACGGTTTTCCAATACGCCAATTAATTTTGCGGTACCATTTGCCTTTAGTCTGTAATATTTGAGTCCAATGCTCCTCCCATTTAGTTGTAACGATTTTATGTATTCCAATACTACAATCTGAGTAACAAAGGGGTAAATCTTGAACACGAGCAGCACTTGAATTAATAATTTTAGCCAAAGTGTCTACTTGTTCATTCCCAAACACTCCAATATGTGAAGGGGTCCAGATGAAGATAATATCTTTTCCATATATAGTACAGAGATGATAATATTTATTACGAATTTCTTGAATTAAGTAGTTTGATGATGAAATGAATGTGTTATTTTTTAATGCCATAAGAACACTCATACTATCTGTAATTATAATCCATTTCGAATATAGTATCTGTTTTTCTATGTATTCTAATGCTAAAAATATAGCTTTTGCTTCTGCTGTGTAAATACTAGCCAAAGTTGAAATTTTATAACCGTGACCAAATCTATTTGACAAATCGTAAAAAGCCACTGAAGTGCTAAGTGCATTTTTGGAACCATCTGTATATATCTGCCTGTAGTCAATAAATTCTGATAAAGTCTCATACATATCGTGCTTTTCTTTTATGTCTTTACGTATAACAATTTTGATTTTACAGAACTTACTCTCATAAAGGCCATTATAACAAGGAAGTATCTTACTACTATAGATGTTATATTCATCTCGTAAATTCAAATCATTGACAATAGTTTTATTCAAAAACATAGAAATGGGGCAATTTAATAATTTGAGTATGAGTGGGTTATTGGAAACTGAAAAAACTTTGAAGAGAAATTTGAGTTTTAGGTATTCGAAACGAAGAAGGATAGGAGGCAAATTACATTCTACTTGCATTGAGATAATTGGAGAAGTATACATAGCACCTAAAATAAGTCTTAAATTCATATTTTGAATTTTTTCGAGTTTTTCTACTAATTTATGTTCTGAGGCATAACAAAAGAAAGCGTAATCAAAATTACTTCTAACAAGAGATTTGTATAGTAAAAGGATAATTTTAGGATCAGCTCCCCAGTTACGACCAATTACAGATCTTATTATATTAGTGGCTCTTAAAGCACGATCTACTAAGCAATCAACGTATAGATCCCATTTTAAATTTTGATGAAAAATTACCCCCAGAAATTTAACGCTACAGTCTGTTGGAAGAGTTTGATTATTATATATAATATTCATTAATGGAACATATTTATGAACTTGATGAAAAACAACTACTTTACTTTTGGTTAAACTAATATCGAGGGAAAGAAGAGAAAAATATTTCTCAAGTCTTTTTAATGACTCATTTAACACTAATTGCATATCAATAATATTCTTTCCTTTTATATAAATTAATAAATCATCGGCAAATTGCAAGTTGTTCACACTGTTTCATACATACATACATATCTGTCACGCCTGTCTCCCATTAGGGTAGGCAGAAACAATGGAACGCCAAATGCTTCGATTCAAACAAACCTCTTTCGCTTCTTCCACATTCATCAATCTTGTCATACACGCTCGTCGGTTACGGGTACTTTTAATTTGGCCCTTCTTCAGCACGTCGCCTATTTGGTCGACATACGTCCGTCTAGGGCGGCCCCTACCGACATCTCCATTCATTCTTGCTCGATAAATCTCTTTCGTAATTCTTCTTTCATCCATCCTCTCCAAATGACCAAACCAACGCAACATTCCTTTTTCGATTTTGGTCACTACATCGACTTTCAGTCCACACTTCTCTCTGATCACACTGTTTCTTACTCTATCTTTTAAAGTAATACCACACATACTTCTCAAAGCTCTCATCTGTACAGCATTTATCTTACTTTCATGCTTCTTCTGCCATACCCACTGTTTCCTAAAATTGAATTAAGTTTATAGATATATAAAATATATAGTAGCGGGCTTAGAATACCACCTTGACATACTCCTTTAGAGCTTAACCTAGGTCCTATTAATTTACTATTTACTTTAACATACACTTCTCTATTACTAAGAAAATTATAAATCCATTCGATAAGTTTCATTGGAAGAAATGAGGATAAAATCGAAGATAGAACTGTTAAATTTACATTGTTAAAAGCTCCTACGACATCTAAAAAAACAGATAGAACATATTCATCGTTATTCAAAGCAGTACTAAGGTCGACATAGAAGTTCGCTAAACTTTCGCGCGCTGAATATCCACGGCGAAAACCAAATTGATTCGATGGTAATATACTATTACTTTCAATAAAGAACTCTAAACGCTGTTTAATTAATTGTTCGAATAATTTGCCTGCACAGGACGTCAATGTTATAGGTCTATAGGAGTCGAAATTTGTAGGATCTTTACCGGGTTTAATTACTGGAATCAAACAATCCATTTTCCATTCTGGTGGGATAATACAGTCCTTCCATAAATCGTTAAAAATTTGTAAGAGTTTAGTAAGGTTTATTTTATTCAGCAATCGAAACATATTGTATGTTAAGCGATCAAGGCCACTAGCTGTATCTTTTCTAGATTTTACTGCACTGGATATTTCATCAATTGAGAATGGGTCAGTGAGAAATTTTGGGCATGAATTAACAGAATTAAACTGTTTGTCATCAAAAGGTGAGTGTACAAAATCAGGAGTATATTTGCGTAAAAAATCATTGACCCATGATATATCTTTAAAATGATTTTGACGATGTTTTGAATTTAGTTTTCTCATATTTTGCCAAACAGTGGAAATTGGTGTTAATCTATTAAATTTGGAACAAAATTCCTGCCACCCCTGTTGTCTTACTTGCTTAATTACTAACTTTTTAACAGCTTGAACTCTTTTAAAATTTATGTAATTATCGAGAGTTGGATTTTGTTTAAACCTAAGGTAAGCCGCTTTACTATCATTGACAGCTGTCGCACACCTGTTATTCCACCAAGGTACTGCAATATGTTTGTGCCTCTTTGAAGTATTTGCACCGCTATTTGATAAGTTCCTACGTGGAACGGTACGTTCCACAGCTGTCAAAATAATTTTACAGAATCTATTGTAATTGTTTAAGGGTTCATTGACATCATACTCGAAATCCAAAAGTAATTGATTAACAGTTTCAGAATAAAGATCCCAATTAACGAGACGTAGGTTTATACGATTTAACAAAAGTTTATTAACTTCATCTATAGGAGCATGTTGTTCACCTGACGGAGTTGATGAAGAGTTCTTTGTGTTTATTTTAGTAAAAGTCGGCAGGTGATAACTTCCTAACGGATCATCATGAACCGACCACTCGCATTTTAATGATATGGATGGGGATACCATAGTTAAATCAAGGCCATTGGGTCTCCAAATATGAGAGCCAACAGTAGTAACTTGCTTATCATTTAATAGTACCAAATTACATTCATCTAAACAATCAAGAATGTCTTTACCTCTTGTATTAGTGGAGGTACAACCCCACATAGTATGATGTGCATTTAAATCTCCAGATATGATAGTGGGTTTAGGAAGAGACTCCAAAAAGAACTTAAATTTGGCTTTAGTAAAACTAGGTGTACTATAGGACAGTAAATACTGGCAACTGAATACCAAGAATTATTAACTTCAATACTAATAGCTATAGTTTGCAAAGAATTGTCGAAAAAAGAGTGAAGTTTTTTATATCTAATACTATTATGTATAATAATCGCTACTCCATTGTGGTTATTACCACAATCATTTCGTTCTATACAATAATCTTTAATTTTTAATTTGTAATGTGGTTTTAGCCAAGTTTCTGAGATGAGAGCAATGTGAATATGATGTTCATTTAAAAATTGTGTAAAAATATGTCGATTGCTCAGTAGGCTCTGAGCGTTCCACTGTATGATAGTTAATTGGTCTCGATTGAATTTTGTGAAATAGGTCTATTACCAAAAGTATCATATAACACATTCAAAACACTTTTAGTGTTAATAGATGTGTTCTTTGTGTTATGTAGTGAAATAAGTTTGATTATGCTTTCTATTAAAAGTGATAAACTCTTGTTATCAGAATTTAGAATTGAAATTAGGTCTACATTTTTTTTAGGTTTGTTACCCAGTTTAGGAAATATTTCAGTGCTAAGTATATCTCCAAAAGAAGCAGGTCTGAATTTAGATCTATTTTCAGCAATTTTCTTTTGTTTAACAGGGCATTGCGGTGATACACTTGTGTGATTTCCATTGCAGTGTACACAAATAGCGTTTTCCATTCCAGTTGTACAAGTTTTATAATTATGCTCACCTTTGCAGATGCTGCAACGCTCAGAATTCTTACAGAATTTAGCTAAATGTCCATACCTCAAGCACCGGTAGCATTGTTTAACTGGTGGTATATATGAAGTGACATTGTGGCGCCAACCTCCAATATCCAGATATTCAGGTAATACAGATGCAGCAAAAGTAATTGTCACGGTTAGAGTTTGTAACACATATCCATGAGTCAAGGTATTTTTTCTTAAAATTCTTTTAATAGCAATAATTTTCTTAGAACTCGATATCATAGTATATATTTTTTTATTAGATATATTTGTAGGTACATTTCTAATAACGCCTGTAACTTCTGTTGAAGAAGCAGGAATACTGGCCTTAAAATGGTAGTCATTTAAAAAAGTTTTATTATTTAAAAAAGCATTGGCTAAGTCTGGCTTTTGAAAGTATACTCCGATTTTGAATTTATTTATAGATCTAAGATAAGTTACCCCTTTATTAAATCGTTTTAAACAGGAGGAGAGTGAGAGCAAGTCTCTGGATCCAATGGTTTTCTGACTATCTGAGGATTCTACAAAGACAACAAATTCTGTCCCAGGGGATTCCTCGGGATATCTTCTAATATAATCTGTGACGTAGTAAGGTTTATACTTATCGGCCTTATCAATTTCAGATTCTGAGTCAGTAGAAGTATCTTCCGAATATATATCCTTGTCATTACAAGGTTCATGGTCTACATCACCTGAATCGTCATCTTTTTTTTCCTTTTTCTACAACTGCGCTTCCCCATGAATGCTAATTATATTACTGTCGCTGAATTTAGTGAAAATATAATATTTTATTCAATAATAAGAATTGATAGAGATAGTTTTAATAAATTAATAAAAAAAATTTAAAAAACCCGCTTGTTCTTATTCGAGTTTCCCGCCTTTTTTCGCAGCAATTGTGTTACTTTCATAGATAATAGAGTCACAGAGTAAGTTGTGTAGGTGTTTTTAAATCTGTTTTTTTTTATACATTGAACATGCCATTATGTTACAATTTTACTGCTTTATTTATAAAAACTATAATCTATCTCAAATCTACTTTAACTATTACACTGTTTGGTCACTTTTTTAAAATTGGAAAAGTAGTGTATAATAAATAGACAAAACAATTCATTAGCTAAAATATGTGATTTTTGACGTTTTTATGAATAAAAGGGTTATTATATTAGTCAGATATGTACATATACGTATACATATGTACTTTCAAATGTTGTCTGGCTGTTTTTGGAACGTTTTTTATCACTCATCACCCGTCTAGATGTGTATGAATGTATAGTCTATGTATAATCTGTTTTAATAGTATGGGAATGTAAACAAACGAATAATCGGACCCTACCATAACAACTTGCTGATGTTCAATGGTAGCACAAGTCAAAAATCGATTGTTGAAATGTTTCTATTTGTTACTAATTTCATTCAGACAGTGTTTTTCTTGAATGGGTGAAAATGGAATGGTAACTCTGCCTGCGCTATCGGTATACGCTGACGGGGCACCAGTGATAGATGATAGGTGAGGATGAAAGCAGGTCAGTTGGCTCATCGTGACGATTCCCGCTAGAATTAACCACGATGGTTTCCAGGGGGAACCGTGTGGAAGTCGACCCGACTGTATTGCTGGCAATGGGTCAGTTAGGCCCCATTACTAACAATCCCTTTCCCCTAGTATACTCTGTTGTGTCCATGGTACTGCTCATGTCTATAGGCGACGGTTACCACTTTCTATCAGGCGGGCCGTCAGCTTGTTTACCATTCTAAGTTGCATAAAACGAAAAAAAGTTTTCTTAACACACCCACGGGAAAAGTAACGGCCCATTCTACGCAGAGACCACACGACGAAACCAAAATCACGTAAGACTTGATTGTTCTATTGAAACAAACTACAAACCGCCACTATTATTCGTAGATACCATTTTTTTTTTATACAACTTAGAATGGCAAACAAGCTGACGGCCCACCTGATGGAAAGTGGTAACATTCGCCTATAGACATGAGCAGTACCATGGACATAACAGAGTATACTGTTTCGCCCATTATACCCCCCATGCGTTACCATTCCTGAGTACTCAGGTGTTATTCCTCTGTACCCAGTAAATTCACGCCATATCCCACCCTTCAAACCAAAACACAGCCATGCAAACACAACTGCTTCACGGTTGTAACACGAATGGGACAGAGGTACCCAAGCAATCGACTTTTGTACAAAGTCTCCCTCTGGTGAATACCATAATGCGCGTATATGTGTTATTATCAATGTAAAAATCATGGAGTTTTTTCCTTCATTTACATACAAGTGTATGAGCATTTCGCTCGTGCGTTGCATAACTGCACATAATAACGGTATGTTTCATGCTTCACCGCAGTTAGGTTTGTCTATGGCCAGGTTTGAATGCGTCTACACTAATCTATAATATTATTATAAAGAGAAAACAGTTGATTGTTTGTTTGTTTGTATTATTTATATTTATATGTGTAAAAATTGTTTGCCCTAAATAAAGCTACATTAATTATTTTCCAAAATTCTATGTATCCTTGCAAAGCCGGGTCAGATCACTAGTTTTCTATCATCATAACAGCCAAACATACTGTTTCGCCCATTTTTTTTATACAACTTAGAATGGCAAACAAGTTGACAGTCCACCTGATGGAAAGTGATAACCGTCGCCTATAGACATGAGCAGTACCATGGACATAACAGAGTATACTGTTTCGCCCATGATACCCCCCATACGTTGCCATTTCTGTGGACTTAGTTTTTATTCCTCTATACGATGTAAATTCACAACTATATCCCACCATTCAAACCGAAACACAGCCATGCAAACACAACTGCTTCACGGTAGAAACACGAATGGAACAGAGGCCAAGCAAATGACTTTTGTACAGTCTCCCTCTGGTATAAATATATTTAATAAGTATATACATAAGAGATCTTACACTCACAGTTTAGACGAGACTAGTTATCTGGCCCGGCTTTGCACGGGTAGACAGATTAAAAAACATTTATTGAACAAAACCTGTTGTACACCAAATGATTACTTGAATAAAAAATGTGCATGATGTTAGTCGATCATGCACGGCCTTTTTAATGACCATGTAATTTTAGTCATAGTACATTTAAATAAGTACACATAATGTTAACAGAGATTTAAAAGAGTAACTGTTGAGTTTCTTGCGGGCTCTTCTCAACAGATAACCACTTTCCGAACCTTGCATTAATAAAAAAAATTACGATTTAAAACTGCTTGTAAACAAGTTTCAATGAAAACAGATGATTTGAATTTGAATTTTCGAAAGTTTTTTATAGAAAATGTATTATAATTGATTCACTTGATAGGTAGTGATAGGTAGTTTTTTTTATGGGTGAAAATGGCACGGTAACCCCGCCTGCGCTATCGGTATACACTGGCACTGGGGTACCAGTGAAGGATGATAGATGAGTATGAAAGCAGGCCAGTTAGCCCATCGTGATGAATGCGACTAGTATTAATCACAATGGTTTCCGGGGGAACTGTGTGGAGGTCGACCTGATATATATATATATATATATATATATATATATATATATATATATATATATATATATATAGTAATTAGTTTAATAAATTATATGTATTTGATATTTTTGTGCATTACAGGTTTTTGTATTTTATGCACGAAAAATTATTAATTCATTTTTGCGCCACCTACTGATTGCCCTACCGATAAGATCGCCTTTTATACCTTTATGTGTATATTTCAATCTGTACTTATGTTACTGTATTTGTGTATTTTTGTATGTATATTTTTGTTTATGGTGCAATGAAGAGTTAAATAAATATTTTTTTTTTTATACTTAGAATGGCAAACAAGCTGACGCTGACCATGGACATAACAGAGTATACTGTTTCGTCCATGATGCCCCCCATGTGTTGCCATTCCTGAGGACTCAGGTGTTATTCCTCTGTACCCAGTAAATTCACGCCATATCCCACACTTCAAACCGAAACCCAGCACATTATAGATTATTTCACACAAATTGTTTTAATAATCTCAAAACTATTTACAATTAGAAGTGTTTATCCCCTACCGATTGCGAAGCGATCTTGCGAAAGGAAGCAGCGGTTTACGATATTTCACGAAAGGCCGCGGCGATTGAAAGAGGCCGTGTTAAAATCGGTCCACGGTAGACGGAGAGATCGATGGAAATAAATAAAAAAAAAACACACACAGTGGAACATAGAGCCACCTTCTTTTTTGAAATCGGTTAAAAAGAGACAAACGATGCGAACCGAATCGCAAATATAATACGTCCACGTATTACGAATTACTTGCTGGGGATTGTTGACCCCAAATTTATTACTCAGACATCCGCATTTAGAAGTTCGAAATCAAAGTTAAGAACATAGTCGTAAATAAACATACCCATTAGAAATACCTGCAGTTTTCCCACTAGTTTGGACCTGTGACTTCGTCCGCATGACCTGGATACGTTGATTTACGAGATAAAAAGCAGCCTCATTTCTCCATACCAAATACTACTATCTATCTATCTATCCATTTAAGAGCTGCGCTCTTGTCGGTGGAGCTCTTGCCACTCACTACGATTTTCAGCGAGTCTCTTCACCTCTTGATACGACACGACACCAACTCCTTCCTTGATCTGCCTGATGTAACTATGTCTCGGTCTCCCTCTCCCCCTTCTTCCTTCTATCTTACCTTCTATTATAATGTTTATAAGTTCGTCGTGTCGTATCAAGTGTCCTAACATTTTTCCCCTTCTGTCCTCAATAGTTCTAATAATTTGTCGTTTTTCCTTAACCCTAAGCAGGACCTCCTCATTGCTAATTCGATCCCTCCAGCTAATTTTCTCCGTCCTTCTCCAGCACCACATTTCAAAGGCTCTAAGTTTATCCATTTCCTTCTGAGTTAATGTCCACGTCTCACATCCATACAGAGCTATACTCCAGATATAGGTTTTGATAAGCCGCTTTCTAATATCTTTTGTTATCTTAGCCTGTAAAAGATGTTTTCTGTTATTGAAGGCTTGTTTGGCCATGGCTATTCTCGTGACTACATCCGGAGTACATCTGAATTACTTGTGATTAAACTGCCTAAATATTTAAATGTATTTACTTGTTCTAATTGAGTATTGTTAATTTTTATAGTATTATTTTGTCGAGGTTTAGTTTTAGCTATTGTCATTATTTTAGTTTTCTTGCTATTAATTTTGAGTCCATATTTATTGAAGATTGTATTCATGATCAATAGTAGTTCCTGTAGCTGTTTGGAGTCCTCTGCAAGTGCAGCTATATCATCTGCGAATCTAATAAAAAATAACTTTTGACCATTTATTTTAATACCTCCTTTATTTGATTCTGTTATTTCTTTTATTGCTTCTTCTATAAAACTATTAAATATTAGTGGTGAGAGTGGACATCCTTGCTGAACTTATAAATTTTTCGACGAGAGGTCTTATTCTATTTTGGATAATTTTTAAAAGTATCTTTGAAACATGTGATATTAAACTTAAAGTTCTATGTTCTTCACATCTTAGTGTATTTGCCTTTTTTGGAAGTGTAACTGTTTTACTAGCTAAAAAATCTTTTGGAATGTTTCCAGTTTCATACATTCCAAATACTACATGTGTATCAAATTTCATGATAATTGGTTAACCCTTCTTTGCATGTTTTTTTTTATTAGTGAAATAAATCAAGGTGATATACTTCATGTTCAAAATTAAAGGAAAAATGGTTTGAAAAATAAATTTGACAGCTATGGTTTTTTTTCTACAATGGACATTAAAAAGGTGTCCAGACCCAATCAACTTAAAGTGAATTTGTTCTTTTAATATATAATTTTTGGGCATTCAATGTT